AATTATCAACATGCTACCAGCTCAATTGTTTTGCAAACTGATGTGGGAACCTCTGTGTCCACTTAACATACAAAAATCGTACATTTTGAACTTTTTCTACTTTTTGGTGAAGAAAAGAAAACAAGAAGAAATACCCGATTTTTAAACCCATTTCAGACTGAAGGGGCTTTTGAGGCCCAACTTTGATCTGAGATAGCGGCTAAACGGCTTGCGCTAGAAGTATCAAATTTGGAGACCTTTCCTAAAATGTCTCTGAAAAAAAGTTCATATTAGTTGAATACTAGTAAGTTGATGTTTTTTTGTGTTGCCATGGCAACGGGTTTCTAGCAGGCAGTTTTTTTGAAAATAGAAGTAATTTTGGTTCAAACATAAAAATTTTCTGAGTTTTATATTAAATTACACTTCTTTTCCAACATTAATAACATCTTACATAGTTAAATATAAGTTAGATCATTTAACATGCATATAATATGCTAATTTGATGACGTCATTGGTCAAAATCCAATATGGCGGACTATATTATTAGCTCTGACGTCATATGATGTCAGAATTACACCAAAGTTATCAAAATTTAATTTTATTATTACACCATTCTCTGAAAACTTGGTAGACATACGATGAGTGCATTAAAACATATAAAAACGGAAATAAGGTAATGTATAAGAACGCCAGTGTGTCCATTATGATCGAAAGCCGGCTGGGGTCCGCGCGGACCCCAACAGAAAATCAGATATAATTTTTTTCATAAATGGTAGAAACGGAGTTTTCTGCACTGTATTGAAAGACAACTTTGTGGGTGACAATTACATTAAAATTTCAGAAAAAAATCTTTAGAAACAAAAAAGATATTACAGAATATATAGTGCTGGGGTCCGCGCGGACCCCAGGTGTACTGTTTAGGGTTAAGGCAACATCAGTATTCCAGGATCCTATCTAAAATACTGTAGAACATTATTAACACAACATAATACATAAAGCAAGTATCATAACTCTTATCTTTATTTACAGTGACATCAAAGCCATACATATGTCAGACACATTGACAGATGACACACTATTCACATTTGTAAGTTTTTTTTTCTAAAAGCATACTCGCTTATGTGGTTGGATAGTAAAAGTTGTCACCAGTACTGTTTCCGCGATCCGAAAAACAGAGCGTTTATGATGTTTGAATATTTATATTTAACCATGTGAAGATCTGGTCACGTCTGTTTCATTTGTAACATTTTCACCTGTATGCTCGACTAAAAGTCAGACAGAACTTTCCGAACTGGTTGTGTGGTTTCTTTCCTGTATGGTTGATCCTATGCAGGCCAGACAAGATATGTTTGGCATCAGCACTACCTTCAAAAGCGGGGTTTCTCAGCAGTGTGTTTAGCCTTGTGCTTGATTAAAGCCGGCTTCTGTGCAGCGGGATAGTCACACTGGTCACACTTGTAGGGTTTATCGTCGGTGTGTGTAGCAAGGTGTTGGTTTAAAGTCTTCTTAGTTGCAGCAGAGAAGAGACACTGGTCACATTTGTAGGGTTTCTCCTTTTTATGTTTTCTCATGTGTACATTTATGCTAGACCTGTAGGCCGTCTTGTACCCGCATAATCCACAAATGTAGGGTTTGTCTCCAGTGTGCTTGGCCATACAGTGTTCATGTAAATGACGTTTATGTGTGGCAGAATAGTCACACTGGTTACATTTGAAAGGTTTCACACCTAAATGTATTCTCATATGCGTGTATAGGCAAGACCTATAGGCTGTCCTGTATCCACACTCCCC